CCCCGTTTCCCCCCTCCCCACCCTTTTTGAGCTTTAATGTTTCCTCACCTGGACATTTATGCCACGATGATGTTGTTTCAACCGTGCGTTTGATTATGTGGAAGCTTCTCCCAGCACAGTTTTTGCTCAACTTTAGTTAACACGTGCAGTTGTGTGCTCTTAGCTTTTTGTCGTCCCAGCAAGTCATTTATCTTCACGCCGACCCGGCCAAGACTGCTTCGCTTTTTGCGATCACAGCCATGATTTCAACGTGGGATGGTAGACCTTTCTGGTGACCATTTACGACTTCGAGGAGCACAATTAAACCACGTCTGCCCCCCCCCCCACTCCCAATGTTTTGGCTTAAAGAGCAAGCTTCCGCCAACCCCAGCCTTTACGCTACGCCTTGACGTTGTTTTATATTTTGGGAGAATCTTGATGGTTATTTTGTTCCCGTAAAAAGCAGGGCGTGGTGAAACGACACAGGATGACGTCACGAGTGAGGTTCCGGATGAGAGCGGGGACTTGAGAAGAGGAGGTCTTGTGTTGGCGCCACCTTGTGTGTGGCCTACCCGCCTGCACTGTTGTGTTATCGTGTTTGTGGCTCATGTTTATGTCACGGGTTCAAGTCGCGAATGAGAAAGGACACACCAAAAGAGGAGGCCTTGAGATGGTGACAACCTATGCCTTGCCCGCTCTGTTGTTGTTATTCTTCTTGTCACGGCGTTGGAGACTAAGGTGTCTGTGGACTGCCTGCCCGCCCTGAGACGAGGCCGTGCGTGTCAAGGATAGGAGGACCCGCACTGTTGTGTCATGATGATGTTTGTGCTCATGTTTATGTCTCGGGTTTAAGTCCCCGACGAGAACGGACATTCTTCAAAAGGAGGACGTCTGGAGATGGCAAAGTGTCTGGAGGTGCCCAGGTTTCCCGAAGTCTTGGATTCTTGACTGCCCGGGTATCAGCGAGAAATAATTGTCATTCATGGTGTTGATGCCTTTGGGAGAATCTTGATTGCCCCATACGCCTCAAGACGTGAGAGTCTCTAAGTCTTAAGTCAGATAAGTAGATGCGTTTCTTGTTCAATCCACTTTCTGCATTCTCCTTCACTCCTTCCTTCCATCCTTCCTTCCTTCCTTCCGTGTAGAGACCACCTGTCCTGGAATATGAAGGTACTCTCCGGCAAGGCGGTGTGGGGCGCCCTCTATAACAACAGCGTGTTCCTGGTCAACTTGGCCTTCCTCGTAAGCTATTTCCTGGTGGAGGAGCAGCCTCGGGCCAGCATTGTCTACTCGTTCGTGGCCTACAGCATCATACTGACGCGGCTGTGGATGGGCCAGGTGTTTTTGGCGGTGTTCACCATAGCCGATACATACGTGGCCAAAGTCAGGGTGCAGGTGACTCAAGATACATCTCTCTCTTTCTTTTCTTTTTTGTTTTTGGCTATTTCATTTTTTCTCTTTC